TTTTTTTTTTTTTTTTTTTTTTTTTTTTTTTTTTTTTTTTTTTTTTGTCCCTTCCCAAGGAGCAGTGGAATTTGGCTGCCTTGGAGACTGGCAACTGTAGACAAACAGACACAAGCAAATAGCCACCTTGCATGGGTTTGGTTTGAAGTAGTTTTTACTTGTCCTAGAACTGAATGGAGCTCCCCAGGGACACACGGAATCTGCACCACATGTGGGAGCTGTCAGTAGCCTCTGCATCCAGGAACTTGATTTTATAGGAGTCTGTCAACATGGGGATGTCCTTCGCCACATGTTTGGGATGCTGGAGTTTTGCATGCAAGTGACAATTACTGAAGAAGGGGTCCCTTTTTGCTGATCCAGCCACCCCTTCCTAGAACTGACTAGGGTCCCACTGCCAAGCAGAATGGGTTTGAGAGTCATGTGCGTCTCCCCTCCTTCCTGCTCCCCTCAGGGCCCTACCCACCCTGCTGAGTAGGGCAGGGAGTGAAGAGAAGATGCCCAGTGATTTGATTTTTTTTTTTTAATCAAAAGAAAAAGTCCCATTTCTGCTCAGCTGTAGGGCTTGAACCCTCACCCTCCCTGATACAAACTGAGTGCAGAATGAGTGGGAAAGGGAATGCAGGCTCCTTTGAAGATATTTAGCATCTTTTTTTTAATTAATCCAACTCTCTGCTTTCTACAAAAAAGGGTGCACCCCTTCCCTGAGCCCCTGGGGTCAGATTCCTCCAGGCACGTGTAAATGGGGCTGGTTGGATGTAGGCAGGCAGTAAGCTGGCCTGGTCTGGCTAGTGCCACGTTTCCTCAGGCCCCCTGGGGCAGGGGCTGGGCAGAAGGGCCATTTGCATGATGTGTAAGCCTCACAGAGGCTGGAATTGTTTTTAAACCCTCCGTTCTTTTCTCCTTGTGGATGAGAGTCCTCCCAGGCACACTGGCAGTGCGAGGCCTGGGTGCTTCGCAGCAGCCACCTGCAATACACGTTCTTCTGCTTTGACCCTAGTGTCTTTGCTTTTGTTCACAGTAGTTGGGGGAGGCAGGATGCTGTTTCTGAGACCAGGGATCCTAGGTGGCTCTGTTCCCAAGGCGGCTGTGAGCTGCTGCCAGTGGATTGGGCAACACCTCTCGCCTTCCAGACTAAGCCAAGCTGACACAAAGCCAGAACTCTGGGAGAGAAGAGACCCTGCCTAACAGTGCAGCAGCAGGATACTTTCCGTACCCATTCCAGTGTAACCCCAGGGTCAGTGTGCACCCCAGCCTGAGTCCATTGTCTGAGTGAGAGAGCCTGGGGAGAGGGGGCACAAAGCATCATGGTCCCACAGGAAGTTGGGTGTGCTCTACTCCTTACAGTGGTACAGCAAAAGAATGTCCCCACTCCAAGATGGAAATCCAGTGGGGCTGGGGCCAGGGCAAGAGACTTAGTCTGTTTCCATAAAGCAGCTCTGCAGTTTAGCCTGAGGCACACTTACCTCTTTGCTGCCTGCTTAGTGTTGCTCTATGGTTATACTGGGGTTTTACTTCCCCAAAAGTGGCCACTTGATGGCATTTGTAGACTAAGAAATGCTTCTGTGAAGAGAGAGACCCTGTATGAGCAACTGCAACTGCACCAAAGAAGAATCAAAGGAACAAAGCCCTTCAGCTGAAGGCTGGCTTTCCCAAGGGACTTGCTGCTGGCTCCAGTTTTGAACTGGTCGATTTCTGAAATTCTAGCTGTGAGTTTCTGACAGAGAAAACTACAATGAGGCAGCATGGGGTCTCTAACACTAGCCCAGCCCAGTCTACTAGATAAAATAATGGTTCTCAGCCAGGGTGCCTTGAGATCCTTTTAGGGTTTCCACAGCTTGCTGAATTTATCACTGTTAGGTGTGTAAACATAATTCACAAGATAAACCCAGAAATTTCAAATAGGAATCCATAGTGTTAAAATGATTCTGACTACTTATGGTTTTTCTGAGTTCTTTGCAACAGAAGAATTGCTGGATTATTTGTCTATAGTCAAAAAATTTGTGAAAAGTAGGAGCTGCCATTTTCCCAGGGCTGCCTCAAGTCTGAAAAGGTTGACAAGTACCAAGACAGAGGCAGGTCAGGTGCCTGACAAGGCAACCCTGCTTTTCACTCTAGCAGAGACACTTGCCAGGGTGAAGGCAGCACCTTCTCTGCAAAGTTGCACTGGAGGATGAGAACCTTCTATAATAAAGCACTGCTGAGCTGAGCAGCTTAAAAGCACTTTGCATGCTTCCAGTGGGGAACTAGCAGAGGTCAGACCAATTTACAAAGTGGCTTAGTTAGACAGGCACCTTGAGCTTTCTGGTTCCCAAGGCTGAGGAAAGGAGGAGCTGGGGAGCAGAGATGGGCCTGTCTGGTATCCAGAGGAGCAGGGGCGATGCATAGAGGAAGGTAATCCCCAGGAGGGTCAAAGGGGGCAGGAGAGCATGTAAGCCTCCATGGCTCACTAAAAACATCCGGGAATGTCTCCTTGCCAAAAAGGAGGCTTACTCCCAATGGAAAGGAGGGGTCATCACTAAGGAGGACTATTCA